ATATATATGTGTGTGTGTGTGTGTGTGTGTGTGTATATTTTTATAATTTTCTGACGCTAATAATTGATGGGAAATAATGAAAACCAAGATTTAAATAGAGATAACTCTTTTATGAAATGGACAAAGTCCGACAATTATTTTAAGACATTTTTTTAAATATATAAATATAAAGACATTTTTATGTTTAACGTTCTTTTCTATAGATACAAATATTTAACTAAATGCTCTGTTTATAATAAACAATATTTACCGGTCTGAATGTCCGAGAAATTTTCATAGAAAATATGCGTCCTCCGACAGGAATCGAACCTGTATCTTACACGGAACCGTCATATAGCCTGACGTGCTTTACCGATTTAGCCACAGAGGAGCGTTTCGGTTAGCGAGGTCGATTTTACTGTTTATAAAAAAAAGAATGTATAAACATAAAAAAATATTGTCGGACTTTGTCCATTTCATAATATGTGACGTCATTTGTCTATATTTGGATACGCATCAAGCAGATATGAATGTACGAGAGAAAATCATGGAGAAATGTAGTTTAAAAACAGTAAAACTCTTTTAATATGTTTTTCATTCCTTAATTCATTCTTTTTTTCTTTCTGTCTGTCTTCTCTCTCAGTTCACAGACACATACGGATATATACATACACACACATATATTGTTAAAAATATAGATATTTTTTGTACATTGTATTTGATCATAAAGTTTTTGTAATGTAGGAATATCTTTTCCTAAAACAGTTTTTATTTTTAATCGGTGTCGCCTCCAGAAGCAGGGTGGACTAATAGATAGCGTATCGGATTGAGGAATCAGAGATCCGAGTTCGCATTCCAGTTGCATCCATTGCATTCACTTACCTTTGGAAAGGTATGAATCTTCTTTTCCTTCCCCCAGCTAAGGGCAAATAGCAGGACACACAGAGTTCTCTAGTCTCTGGTTTACCGCAGAAAGAAATGGCAACCTACTGCGGGAAAAAATCTGCCTCGCCGAAGCATGGCACATAATTGACTGATCACCTCCAGGAAGCAGTAGGGCCACCATCACACAAGGAGTTACAGAGTGTGACTTAGGAACAGAAATATTATTAATCAGCAGAAAGTAAAAGGAATAATGAGGAGAACAGTAGATAGCCATTAACATTGCATTTAGATTTTTGCAGATTAAAGTTTGCTGAAAAGCATAGGGCCGGAAGTGAGTTCCACAAACGAGAAGTGCGATAAAATAAACTTGCAGCATCATCTAGCTAGTTGCAGCATCATCTAGCTAAACTTGCAGCATCATCTAGCTAGTACATTGGTGAGATCTCGCAGTCAGTCTAGTACTGCGCTTAAATTTATTCAGTCTAGATGCCATAGCGAAGAGCTCATTCGAACAATTAAGATGAAAATAATTATATAATGTCTCAGAGATGCAACTTTACAGCGATGGGTAATTGACTGAAGCCGAGCCGCCAGTTCAGGACTAATAATATTGCTGATTCTTCTTTTGATCATATCAAGGATCTCAATATAAATTGCAGAGGCGCGGGACCATATATGACGGCAATATTCTAAAGATAGACGAATGGTAGACATAGATATGTGAGATAGATTCCAGAGAGAAAAAATTGTCTCGACCGGCACAGCTAACCGATTTTCTTAGCAGCTGACCCAGCAATAGATTCAATATAGTCTTCTTCATGTCAGCTGAGAACGTTGGACTGAGTCACTCTCCTGGAGGTTAGCATCAGCCATGTTGTTAGAAATTATGGATGGGTCTCTCAGATGATTAATGGAGAGAAGTTTAGGAGGTGTTAAAATTAAGAAGCCATCTTTTGCAGCAGTTAACGTCGGACTGGACATCGGCTGCCATTATGACCTTGTCGGCGTGATCAGCCTTACTATCGAAGCTGTCAACGTTTATTTCACAATTTGATAGGAATCACTTGATCAGCCCCAAAAATGTGCCCGTAGATACCGTAACTTTTTAGCTAGTGGAGGAGACTGGAATGTCAGAATGTGCCAAAGGCTTTCGAGATGTCCAATGCTATAACTCGGGCTTCACTGATTCTATCTAGAGCATGATACATTCCTTCCGCAATTATCCTTAGTCCATCAGCAGTGGACCAGGAAAAAAGAAAGCCGTATTGCTTGTCTGAGAAAAAGCCCTGTGATGAAAGATAGGACGGTTCCACACAATGACTTCCGACAGGCTGGAAAGCATGAGACAGCGAGGTATTTATACAATTTAGAACAGGAGACAATTTGGGAACAATAACTATTGCAGTGATACACTTGAGCCCGCATGCTTTCTGGGTTCCTAGTTAGAGATATTGGCAGTAAACATGGAATAGGTTATCTGCATATCACTCAATAGAGAATAAGTTCTAATTGGGGAGATAGGCAAAGATAATCCAGATGAGTCAAGAATAGCGTTTGAGGAGAATTTACGGGCAAATCATTCACCTTTATTAGCAGAGGTTGATAATGTCTCAAATCGAAGAGACGAAAACTAGAAACCTTACACTTATTTAATACCCTATTACAGAGCCACGAGTAATCACAAGAGCCTTAGATTTTTGTGTTGTGCAGTGTCTCAACCTCTCAGCAAATATGGACCTAACTCCTTCGTCGACTCGCTTGTTGTATGTGGTTAACTCAGATATATATATATATATATATATATATATATATATATATATATATATATATATATATAAAGACATTTTCTATGTTTATACGTTATTTATTTAGATACAAATATTTTAAGTAAATGCTCTGCTTATAATAAACAGTATTAAGGACACTTACTGGCCTGAATGTCCGAGAAATTTTCAAAGAAAATATGCGTCTTCCGACAGGAATCGAACCTGTAACCTATACGGAACCGTCATATAGCCTGACGTGCGTTTACCGATATAGCTACAGAGCGTTTCGGTTAGCAAGGACGATTTTATTGTTTTTAAACTACAATTCCCATGATTTTCTGACGTACATTCATATCTACTCAAAACAAATGACGTCAAACATTATGAAAATGGACAATCTATCTAATTATTTTAAGACTTTTTTATGTGTCTATAAAAAGAACGTATAATAAAAATAATTGTCGGACTTTGTCTTTCTATATATATATATATATATATATATATATATATATATATATATATATATATATATATATATATATATAAAATTCAGAAAGAAACAGACAGAACGACAGACAGAGTTGTTAAATAGAATCTAAACATAGAAACATATTCACATACAAGAACTCGCGCATATGGGTTTGCATAGTAATTTTCTAAGGCCGAATATATGGGGCACCCAGTGAGTATCAAGCTTACTACTCAGTCGTAACTAATCTAGTAAGACAAGCCTTCTAACGATTACACTAAATCGAGGTACCCAGATGGGATGATTTTCTAAGCGTGGCTTAGATGTGGCACAAGGCCGAAATTATGGGGCATAAGAATCGAACTCACTATTTACGTAACTGTTTTAGTGAGACAAACTTGCTAATTATTACATCACATCAAAGTGAGCATTTGGTGACTTACCGGTCGTAGCATAGATGTGGCGCAAGGCCAAAATTCGAGGGCACCCAGTAAGGAACTAACTCACGACTCAGTCGTAATTGTTCAAAAGAGATAAGCTTGCTAACCATTACACCGCTTCAACACACCTGTCTGTTTATGTAAAAAAGAGAATGATCGTTTTCCACCATTCTAATTTCTGTTTATTTATTTATTTATATATTTCTGTGTATCTAGACAAGGGATCATAAATAAATAAATTGGCGATTAGTGGAGATGGGGGTTTCAAAATCTCATTGTACGTGAAAGAAGGATAGAAACAAGATCTATAAGCGGATTAGTAGATACATTTGTACACGTTCTGATAGTAATTCGGACTTACTAGCTATAAACTGCGATGAAGAAAGAAAATGTGATTTGAGTACGCTCTGATTATATATATATATATATATATATATATATATATATATATATAGATAGATAGATAGATACTACGGAACAAAAGTTTGGGAATATCTAGAATTGTTTCTTTAAGTTCATAAAAAAATGGTCAATTTTACATATTTGGATTATTTTAGCTAATGTGTATATATGCCAACCCTTATATAAATTTCAAGCCAATTTTTCTACAGTCATTATAAATTTATTTGCATGAGCTTTGGAAATTTTTGTTAGAACTTGATGCCCTTTCTAAACTGTAGAGCAGTAATTTGCTAATATTTCAATTCTACTGCTTTGGTAGAGTTTCAATTCCATCTAGATTAATGCGTAATAGAAATTATTCTTCAAAAACCGTTAAAATGCCAAGAACAAACAGATTAACATTGAAACAAAGAGACCAAGTGGAAATTCTTTCTATAGAAGGATATTAGATTGCTATAAAATGACACATATCAGGAAATGGGGTGCATTATTGGCTGCAGCGACATGTAGAAATCGGTGCAAATGTTGACAGAAAAAAGATCATTTGCATGCAACCACAGACAAAATAAATTTAAAGGCATGAGACTTGACTAATTTTTTAAGATCAGAGGAAAAAAAAAATCAGTGTCTTCCCAAATCTCTGAACAGTATATATATATATATATATATATATATATATATATATATATATTATGAATAGATCCAGAAAGGCGAAAAAGAGAGAAAGTAGGCGTAACGGGAGAGAAGGAAAATAGAGAGTGAAGGAGAGATAGGGAAGATGAGAGAGATAGGGAAGGATAGAGATAAAGGGAAGGAAGAAGAGAGAGAAGGAAGGAAAAAGAGGGGAGGACGGTGAGAGGGAGGAAAGGCGGAAGAGAGAAAGGGAAGCAGAGAGAGAGAGAGACTGAAGGAGCGATAGTGAAGATGAGAGAGATGGAGAGTGAGATGGAGGGTGAGAGAGAGAACATACAGACAGCGATATCAACACAATATGGTGAGTGTTACTTTCAAGTTTATATATATAAGAGAGAGAGTGGGAGAGAGAGAGATAGTAAAAGAGAGAAGGAGACTTAAATGCATTTATATGCAATTCAGTAACATATTTTTAAAAACTTGGTCTAAACTCTCATGAGTACCTTTCTAGCTAAGTGGAATCCTCCAAATTTAAGGAGATGGAATTTCTCTCCTGCCATTGACTTGGCGGTATCATTTTTATTACACTTTTCTTCGTGATTCTTTCAACATGCCAACTTTCCCCCATTACCGAATGCGACTAAAGCAATTGAATGGACCTAAAGCTGAAGACATTTCCAGCAAAACTAATAAAATAAGAAAAGGAAATAAGAAACGCACTCATCAAAGCGACAAGTGGCCCAACTCTATACGATTTGGCCCTGACATAAAATCGAGAGAAGAAAATGCAATCCTTTCTACAGGAGAATGAGGACACATAATTGGTAGAAGAGAATGGCAGGGAAATGGACCGATCAAAAGTCAATTCGGGTGTCTCGGACAAGAAATTTAGGGAAATAAAGAAAAATCAATTTTTCGAGCCGAATCCAGTATGACGAAAGAAAGCTGATTTTAGCAATGGAATGTGAGAAATATTTTTCTTTTTCTTTTTTCTTTTTCTTTTTCTAAAGCCGATAGTGAAGATTAGTTCGTTCTGTTCAAAAAACATTTTCAAAGAGTAAAAAAGCTGGTAAATTTCGACTTTACGTGAAATTCGGGGGTGCTTTTTAAAGAAAAAAAAACACAGTGAAAAAAACGTAAAAATCCGAAATTCGCAATGAACTTGTCCATTTTATTGAGTGCAGTTCAACTCTATCGAATCTATTTCAAGCATTCAAAATGGATCTGATTTTTATATCGATTTTTCTCGCTTACTTATCAGTTCAGCATAAGAGAAATCTGTTATTCGTGATATACTTACTTTTTTTCTTTTAAATATCAATTTTGAGTTCAGCGGATTTAAAAATATTTCGTCCCGAACCAAAACAATGCATACATATTTTAAAATCTCACATACAGTCGCATACATTTACATAAAAACCTGTAAAGTAATATCTGTAATATAATCGATCCTGACTTGGAATCTCGATTTCAGTCACTTTCTCACCGACGTGAAGTGGCTTCACTTTGTCTTTTCTACAAATATTTTCATAGCAATTTCTCTGACCAGATTTTTTTCCTTTGTATCCCCGACAAAATGAATTTAAGCGAGCTACTAGATTATCAATTAGGTTCCAAACTTTTACTGATGGAATAGCTATATGCAGCCGCCAACAGTTTTTTTTTCTTGCAATTCCCACCCGTGGAACTCCATTCCGTTTACTTGGTTCCCTGATAACTATAATAATCAAAAATTTAAATGCAACCTCAATCGCCATATTTTATGTTCTTGAAATATTTTGTTTTTCTAGGGATATCCTTATTGATACAAATAAATAAAATAATAATGAAAATTATAAACAAAATAGAACAAAAAATATTTAAACCTGGTTTAAAATAAATTAAATAAAAAAATAAATAAATAAATTATTCCAACCGTGCCACAAAAAATCTTCCACCCGGAAATACGAACATTCTGCGTCATAGGTTTGATATTCAACTTCTTTGTGGGGATTTTTGTCCCTGTTATGATGTTGATTTGTGGTTAGTAGAGACAAACGCCAAATAACACGTAACAATAAAAAGGGTTTTAATAGGTTGGTAAAAAAGGTACAGAAATCGCCTGAGTAACTAGCTCAGCTAAGAACTTCTCGGTCTATCTGTCTTAGTATTTATCGATCCATATGAATATAGCACAAGGCCGGTTTAATGTGGGTATCTCCGAGCCCCGTAGGCTCGGCCAAAAATAGCCTTTGAATCCGCCTAGACGGGTTCAGGCCCTATTCTACCTCCCGGTTTAAAACCTTGCCCTTCGGCAAAGTTTCGTCCAGGTTCTGCGTTAGCAGAGAGTCCGACAGAACGTAAAACAGTCAAAGACTGTATCACGACTCAACTAGACTCGGAGGTCTTACCCTCTCTGTCTATCTCTCTTCCGTCATGTCAACTGACATGCCACTATTTAAAGTCTTTGTTCACAGACGCAGACAAGTTCATCTTCAAGAGGGGTGGTAGGTTTCGACACAACAGTCCCTGAATATAATTTAGGATATTCCCCCCCCGCAAAATAAAACAAAAAAAACAAAAAAACAAGACAAGTCAGACGTGTTCAAAACTGAAGCTGAGTGTATACAGTGAAATTGGAACAACAGCAAAATGGATACGCCACAACCGTTTGAGTTCAATTAATTTAATTCAAGAAAAAAAAAATTGATAGGAAATGTTTATATGTGTGTCTGCAAGCATAGTGCGTTTGTGAACTTAGCTTACTTGCAGATTCGTCCTCGTAACTGGTAGGAGGGTTAGGTGTTGTCGTGGATTTATAAGTAGCAGTCCTGGCTTCCCCTGGGTTACAGGCTCGTATCCGGGTTGGGTGTCGTAAAAGTCGATAGCGCAGTCTAGGGGTAAGGGTAAAGGCAGTCCGTCACGCAGGGTGCGAGACACAGGTCGACAGATCAAGGCTAAGAGCTAGTCGCAAAGGAAAGCGAACGAAAAATAGGCTAAATTCTCGGAGTAGGGCTTTATAGAGTGGTCAGCCGAGGCTACCGCGTGAATTATAAAGGGGCACTGATTGGGCACTCATTTCGGCCCATTTCACGTGTGACCGTTAAATTCCAATATCTTCGTCCAAGAACTATATATATATATATATATATATATATATATATATATATATATATATAGTTTAGGAAAACTAGGTTTGGAAGTAAAGTCTGATGATCCGCAGTCCTTTTAAAAGGGCTGTGGTGAAATAATTTATTACATGGAACCTTAAAGTTTATTTAATATATATATACTTTTTTTTAAGTGTTTCACCCAAAGCAAGGCAGGAAGCCACTAGGATGCAAGGGGTTACAGGAAATAGCAAGATCGGATAGGAGTGATAGAAGAAAGGATGAGGGTAGTGGATAGATCAAGGCAACTGGAGATGTCGATTGACATTACCCTTGAATAGCTGGAGATTATAGCTCACAGGGAAACAGGAGAAGAGAAGGGAGTTCCACAGGCGAGAGGTGCGAGACATGAAGCTATTGGAGTAGAAGAGACGGCTACATTTAGGGGTTTCGACAGTGAAGGGGTGAGAGCGGGATGCCAGCCTCGTGAGGCGCTGGAACTCATGACGTCTGCGAACTAGCGAATGCAGCTCCTCGGAGCAATTTCCATGAAAGTATTTGTAGAACAGACAGAGGGAGGCGACGGCGCGTCTGTAAGAAAGTGACTGTAAACGAGACGCCAGGGCAGGGCCAACCATGTTGCATATCCGCCTCTGGAGCCTATCAAGAACCCCGAGGCAAACAGAAGGGGCGCCAGACGATATATGGCAGCAATACTCCATGCAAGGGCGAATTGTGGATTTGTATATCTGGAGGATCGACTCAGGGGAGAAAAACTTCTTAGCACGGCTCAGGGAGCCAACTTTCCTCGCAGTGGACGAGGCAATTGACTCGATGTATTTATTCCATCTCAGGTCAGCAGTCAACGTGAGACCGAGAAGCCGCAGAGAGTTGCTCTCGAGAAGTTGAGCGTCAGATATTCTAATGGAGGGAAGGGAAGGATCTCTGTGGTGATTAATAGAGAGCAGTTTTGTCTTCGAAGCGTTGAAGTTGACCAGCCAATTCATGCCCCAGTTCACAATCGATTGGAGGTCCTTTTCGAGACGCACGGCAAGGTGAGTTTTGTCAGCGAGACTAGATTTGTTTTTGAGGCAGGAATAAATTGTGGTCTCATCCGCGTAGATGCCGACTTGAGAAGTTACGGCGTCAGGAAGGTCATTTATGTAGATAAGGAATAGAGTGGGGCCTAGGATGGAGCCTTGAGAGACAGCTGCGTTCGTGGGATAGGAACTGGAGGAGAATCCGTTGAGAACGACCATCAATTCACGGTTTGACAGGAATGATTGTATTAGGTTATATAATTGACCCGTAATGCCATAACCCTGGAGCTTGCGCAGAAGGCCGTCATGCCAAACCCTATCAAAAGCTTTGGAGATGTCTAGTGCCACGGCTCGGGCTTCCCCATTATTTTGGAGAGCTCGGTAGACTGTTTCAGTGATGGCCGTAAGCACATCGGCTGTAGATCGGGCAAAACGGAAACCATATTGCTTGTCTGAGAGCAGATTATGGGATGAGGTGGTTAACCACCCCGGTATTGATTAGGGCTTCGAAGACTTTGCCGAAGAGGGAAGGAGACTGATAGGACGGTAGTTGGAAGGGTCAGAGGGGGTCGCCGGAGTTCTTGAAGACAGGAATGATCGAAGAAGACTTCCAGCAGTCAAGAAAACAAGATTCCTTGAGGCAGTAGTTGTATAGTTTCGAAAGGGCGGGCGCCAGTTCAGGCGCGCATTTCTTCAAGACAGTGGCTGGTATCCCGTCTCCACCACTAGCCTTGTTGGGGTCTAAATTGGAGATAACGCCCAGTACCAAAGATGGGGTTATGTTTAACCCACTCAATATGGCCTTAATTCTAAGAGGGAAGTCGGGTATGGGTACACACGAAGAGTCGAGCTTCGAGTTGAATGAAAATTTCCGAGCAAAGCATTCAGCCTTGTCGGTAGAGGAGGTGAGGACTTCGAACTGGTTGAATAAAGGAGGTATAGAGGGTTCAATTGTTCAATACGCACTTGCAGAGACGCCAATAATCTTTGGAGCCAAATTTGCGAGATGCAATACGTTCCTTTATTCGAGCCGCAAATAGTGACTTAGCATCATTGAGGACACGCTTACATTCGTTACGGGCGGAGGCAAAGAGACGTCTATTGCAGTCAGACATGTCGCTACGGAATAGGTGGAAGTAGTGTTTCTTATGGGCGATGGCGGCTGAGCAAGCGGCGGAGAACCAGGGGGAGGAGCGCGACTTGACC